GTAAGGGGGCTATTGCACCCTCTATGGCGTCCCTAAACCCTAAACCCTAAACCCTAAACCCTAAACCGTAACCCTAAACCCTAAACCCTAAACCCTAAACCCTAAACCCCTGAACCCTAAACCCATTATGGGGTCTAGCCAAAGGCGCTCTCAGCTTTGATCTGACTTTGGGGTCCGAAAGCCTCCAGTCTGATACCAGAGGTAGTGCAGGGGCCTCAATAAGAAGAATAGGGTTTTGGGATATATTATGCTATAGTTACAATAAGGAACCCCCCCAAAAAAACCTATTCGAATTATTAAGGCCCCTATATTAGGAGCCCTGAATTCAGCAGGTTGCAGCCGATCGAGATCGCAACCTTAGAGAACCCCTGAAACCCCACAAAAAGGGGCCACAACGCAAAGAAACATGCGATAGACAGCAAAGGGTGGGTGGGGCACTTTTGTTGCAGCATGAGGTACTTGAACATAGAATAGCATACCATGGCAGAGAAAATTGCGATTGAACTTCTGCACACTGTCATGCCTGTGTACACTGTACACTCTATCACCTGCAGCATAGTACAACGTACTGAAAAGTTGTTTCAAGGCATAGCATCAGTGAACTTGAACATCATCAGCGGCTCACATACATCACAACAAAAAGCACAGGATACCCAGTGTTCCTGTTTCATTCTGTAGTACACCTCTACTATGCAGCACCGTCCAACGTCGGGACATCCTAGGCAGAAGGCGAGGGATCTGCTGAAAAGTTGCTTCAAGTTGGGCTATGATTCGCTTGTGCTTTGCATCCGCTTTTTGGTCCGCTTGCAGTTTGTGTGAACGTTATGCTCTTTTTGATTGCAGTGCAAGGGCTCCTGCAAGAACACGCTTCAACATCAGGCAACAAATCCCAACATAGCACCAGCTGCTGTTCTTATCGCGGAGAGTACTAGGGGGGGGTCGGAATAGTTGCTAATAGGATTCCCTTGTAGTCCTTTCACAGTTCTATTGTAGTAGACCGCCCAAAATGCATTCCTAAAGCCCTAGCCGCAAAAGATGCGCAAACCTAATGTAGGGGCCTTGATAGATAGAACAGGGTTTTGGGGCCCATTATGCTATCATTACAGTAAGGACCCCGAAAAAATAATGTAGGTGACAATTTCGGCTTCTATCATAGCCGCAGGACCCTGAAGTCGCAACTCTTTAGAACCCTGAAACCCACCTAAACCCTAAACCCTAAACCCTAAACCCTAAACCCTAAACCCTTTTAAAACGAGAGACCAGGGCCTTTTCATGGTGCCCTTCTAAGCATACTCTGAGCTCTCTGCGTACTTACTTGCTTTCGACAAACCCCATGCACATGAACGAAGAAGTCCCTCCATACATTGTATTATAATATGCTCCGGAACCCTTTGCTTAAATTGTTCAGGCCGCTATATTAAGCACGGTGTGTTGGGCGTGAGGCTTTAGGGCTCGGGGTTTCAAGGTTGGCTGCTGCGGTGCTCTGGTGTTTAGGGTTTACAGTTTAGGGTTTCCTAAGCCCTCAAACCTAACGTGCATCATGCTACAATGCAGGGTCTACTTCCTTATGGGGTCTGGTGGCTCATCAGCACGGGCCATAAAAGGACAAGATGGCAAATTATTCAGGCTTCCCTGAACCCTGAACCCTAAACCCTAAACCCTACACTACAGTCGGCAGCCTTTAACGCGGTCCCACCCCCAACACGTCCTCCGGAGCTGAGGCATATCCACCAGCCATGGCCCAGCTAACACAACCGGTGCTTTAGGGTTTAAACGTTAAAAATTTAAAGTTTAGGGTTAAGGGTTAAGGGTAGGTTTAGGGCTTTAGGGCTTTAGGGCTTTAGGGCTTTAGGGCTTTAGAGCTTTAGGGCTTTAGGGCTTTAGGGCTTTAGGGCTTTAGGGCTTTAGAGTT